GACCAGAGTGCAAGATTTAGGGGCACCCTAGCGTGTAACATGTTTCTAGAAAAAGGGAAACAGCAAAGGTGTGACTTACCCTTGATCCCTGTGTGGAGCATATTTTAAGGTGTCCCCAAAATGGTGACGCCACCTTGGGGAGCCATGTGCCTAGCAGAAAGAACTAACGGGCAGCTCTCTCTCTCTCTCTCTCTCTCTCTCTCTCTCTCTGTCTCACACACACACACACACACACACACACAGAAAAAACGACAATTGGGGCGCGCGCCCGTACACATGAACGTGAAGCCGTATTTCCCAACTTATTTACAAGCTGTTTAACTGTAAATTAGTCCTCTCTAATTCTCCTTTGGTTCATTTTACAAAACAGCGATTATAGCCTTTTGCACATTGCCATCGGGTTACTTTTACATCATTGACAACATGTAATTACATAACCCTTTTGCCCAGGTCTGCTATCATCTAACCTTACAGAAACAGAAAACGGCCTGAATCAGCGTGTACTTGTACAATAATAAAACTTACATTTGTTTCAGGGATGCTTGAGAAGAGTAAACCTCACATTATCTTGCTTGTTGAGAATTTATACATTTTAATCGATATGTCCAAATAAACACCTGTGTCTGCAAGATTTACATTGGTTTATTTACAAGTCTAAATTTCTCTTACTTTTCACCACTTCTTGTTCTAATTTTCCAGTTCCACCTTTAATGGTGCAAGTTATTATAACGCCTCAGACCCCAGAACTGCTGCACCGTTTAAGATGGAACAGGAACATTTTAACACAACGCTGGCCAATAAGAAGCTGACTTCAGCTTTGTGGCTCATTTTATTTCCCTGTTTGTTTTTATTATTATTATTATTATTATTATTATTATTAATGCTAACATATCTTAACATTAATTCTCATTTATAGACTTTTATCTCTGCAATTAATAAATCTTGGCGATTTGATAATTTTATTACATTACTAATTATGAGTTATTTTTATATTACTAAACATATTAAGCCCATAACTAATGTAAAGTCAGCAAGATAGACTGGCAGGTGGCCCCTCTGGAATAAACCAGAGAAGACTGGCTGCTACTGGTTTAAACCGGTTAAGTCTGCTTATTTAACCGCCGCATCTCCGTCACCATGGCAACAGCATTCAAAACAGGCCGTGGAAAACTCGTTGTTTCTAGTAACAGAAGTTTCAGTCTTTATTGTAGTTTTTATGAAATGCAGTCAGAAAAAAACTAAGAAAAGTAACTGCTTATCTATATTATTGGATTAAATGTTATATTAAGCAAAAAAAGTCCAGTAGAACACAATGGATTCCGTTTTGCACCTTATCGTCTTCGAAATGCATGTAAAACAGTTGACTAACGTTTCCTAATACGTGTCTAAAGAACATCATACATTTAGTCCTTTAAACGATTTATTTAAAACAGTTAAAAGAAAGCTTTTGAGACGATTGTGAGAACTTTTACATAACGTGTCTCAAAGTTGTGGAAACGTAGGGATGTACGAACATTAACTAAACCCATCATCTACAGTAAAAACCCCATGTAGCTCTCCCTGATCTGACCGAATGGGGACCAAATTATTCTTCTTCTGGTGGATTAATAGCTGGTTGCAATCCAACTGAAGAGGTGAATAGGAAGGCGAAAAAGTGTTAATGGAAGTGACTTTAAGCCATTTTACTACACAGAAGCAGGAGCCTAAACTGGTGGCTATCCTCCTAGAAATGACATTGGCTAAGCTAGGCTAGCTAGTTAACCCATCAGGCACACAGTGCTAAGCTAGCTACACATTCCTTAACCACAATATGTCGTTTGAACATATTGTGAGTGTATAAAAGGCTAAGACAATTTGGGTGTAAATCACTTTAAGACCCGCGTTCTATGGGTATAGGGGAGTGACGTGTATATTTCAGTAGTTCACCATCGTAGATGAATGAGTTCGCCAGTTCAGCTGCGCCACTCCATAGTCTAGTCTCACTTACCTATGACTGTTAACGTTCCTTATTCCTTCCTGTGTGATCCAACCAGCGATATTCAAGTATTGAGTCAATGACGGAAAGTAAGTGCTGTTGTTGTTGTGTTCATACCTCGCAAGTTCAACTCCACAATCGTATGTGTTCAGTGTGAGAGGAGACGTTGCTAATGTTGTCACGATGTACATGAAAATAACTGACTGCAGGAAGTGTTAAGCTAATCATTAAGAAGGCTCTGATCCTTTATATATCTCAGTTAATGTGAGACCATTGTATCGTAGGGAAGGATTGGTAGCGTTCTATGTATGGAAATGGCCGCCGTATATAAACGCCATTCTGCAGTACCCTCGAATAGCCAGGGGGTGTCACCATTGTCCTTTATGTACATGTTTGAGCACATCTATTCATCTGAGGAGTAATATTCCCATTTATATGTGACTCTAGGTTACTGTTTCTGCTAAATGGGCATTGTAATGTTACTGATAAGTTTGTGCTTGATTTATGTTTGATTGCTGGTTTATTCTACTATTATTTCAGACTGATGGCGATACTGAATGTCAAGCTGTATCACTAAATACTGCTGGAATACAATACAGTTAAAGAAAGAATTACATCTCCTCATCTTCTTTCCTGTGTCCTGACCGATACACCATCCTGCTTACTGTTAACCCTAAACAAACTAGCCCTACCTTACTCCCTATCAAACAGTCAGGAACAGCTTATCTGCCACTGAAGCAATAAGTGCTTTAAGCTTTATTTTCATCTTATTTTAATTTAAAGTGGAACAGATTTTTTTTTGGCATGTGCAACCTCAGTCCGCTGACTCTGCTAAGTGCTGTTTATCCCCACACTGACTGGATGTGAGGAGCAACATGCTCAAATGTAGGATAAATTATATGCGTATATTTTTGCCTTTTGTACAATGCACAGTTAAAAACAACTGTAGGATAATTCTGACATTTTCACAACTTCACAATTACAATGTTTTAGATTTTTTTTGAGAGTTCGTACTGATATTTTTCAAACCAAGTGTGGTGAGTTGAGAAGATTGTGTTAAAGTGCTCTGAGAATCTAACCGTCTACACTATTAAATTATTAGTCATATGCAATATTGTTGATTTTCTAAGTGACAAAAAGTTAACACGTTCTCTACATAGAACACACCTCTGCACATTTTAATGCACAATTGCTGTTTATTTGCTACCATATGGGAAATTAAACTCAAAATGTGGCCTGTGCAAAAGTTATGCCACATTTTATATTCTATTTTAGTTTTTCAAATTTGTTAAAATCGGCATAAATGTCATATTTACAGTCATGTCAAGAAGTAAATATGCCCCAAGAAAATTTTAGACTTTTTCAACATACTTGGAGATACAGAAATCAATTCTTCTTTTAAACAGTGTTGACAGATAAAGGAATGTGGAAAAAAGTAAGTACAGCTCTACACATATCACTACTTCAAACCTATCAAATTGAAATCAGGTACACACGACCAGGTGTAAATGTTTAGAAGACCGTTAGAGAACATCTTGGAGGAAGCTGTCTTGCTTAAACCCCAGATATCTGGTCTGGTTTGCTATTTGTTATTGGAGTATGTTGCATCATCATGCCTAGATAAAAAAGGTTCCCTCAGGCCTTCAGAAAGAAAGTTGTAGAAGTCTGGAAAGGGATTTCAGAAGATATCCAGAATTTTGGAGATCAGTGTTTTCACTGTCCACTTTACAAGTGGAGAAGATTTAAAACCACTGCCAACTGATCCAGGAAGGTTAACCTGATAGCAGACCGTATATAAATAAGTCTCTAAGCGCCCCAAAATTTCATCACAAGTTCTCATCACAGTGGCTCTTGCTACTGTTTATGTGAAAGTGCATGTACAATTAGAACAAGACTGCACAAATTTAACCCACATGGGAGGTGCTCCAGGAGGAACCCTTTGCTGTCTAAAAAGAATATCAGGACAAGGCTAAAGTTTGCTAATGGATATCTAGGCAAGGAAGTGGGGGCTGGAACAATGTGCTATGGACAGGCGAGTCCAAAATAGAGTTGTTTTTGCCACAGTACCAGAAGTAGCCATGTTTGCCAAAAACCAAAGACAGAAAGATGGTGGAAATGTTATGGTTGGAGACTGCTTTGCTGCCTCAGGGCCTGGCCAATCTGCAATCACAGAATCAACTATAAATTCTCTTTTATACCAGACAGTTCTTGAGGAGAATGTGAGGCCATCTGCCAAAAAGTTAAAGCTGATGAAGTGGACCTTCCAACAGGATGAAGATTCTAAACATATAAATAAATCCACTAATGAATGGCTCAAATGGATTACATGGAGAGTTGTAAAATGTCCTAGTTAAAGCCCAGAACTGAATCCCACTGAAATGCTGTGGGGGGGATTTTAAATGGGCTGTAAATGCAAGAAGCCCCTCAAACGTTGTACAGCTGAAATACAAAAGCACAAAAGGAATAGGCAAGAATTTCTCCCAGTAAATGCCAAAAAACTGGTAGACAGTAATAGGAAATGCCTACACATAGATTTTTCTGTCAAAAGAGGCAATACCAGTTACTGAAGCCAGAGGTGTACATACTTTTTCAACAGAAAAAAGGACATCTCAGCTAATTTCCTTTGTTTTTTGTTCTGCTGTGTACCATTTATTTATGCACAATATTTAGCTGATGATAAAATACTAAATATATTCCCACATATGTAATTAAAAAAAAGAAACATTTTATAGGGTGTACTTAGTTTTTCACATGACTTTAAGTCTGCTCCCTGTAGAAGTTTTCACTTAGAAAATCATCAAAACATGTAATTTAAATGGGTATGTTCGAAGTTTTTCATACAACCGTATCTGCAGATTAAAAATGCATAAATGTCTGAAATGTTTAAAACGTTTATAATGTAAAGAAAATAATCTGCTCTGCGTCAGCTCTGCCTTCACGTGTAGGTCATATACCTGCAAAACTCACAACTACTGCACTAGTACACTTGATGACTAAATGAAGAGGACCAGTGAGGAGACTGATCTTTAATGCTTTTATTACAGGCTAGACAGGATGTATTTGGAGCCATGCTGCTCTGAATAAAGGAGGGAGTAAGCTGAAGAAAAAGAAAGAATAAGGACAGAATGCACATAAGCAGATGTAGATGTCAAATGCAGGCCAGTTTGCTGTGGATGCTGGACAGGCCGATGCTGAAGGCTTGAAGGGCGCACAAGGGATAACAGTAGTGCAGCGTGAACTCATTATCAGCCATGCGGGCAAACACCATCAGAATGTTGTCAGCTGAGGAGAAAAAAAGCAGAAAAAGATTCATCAAAATCCAAACAAACAGGAGAAAGACAATAAATCAGCTAAGTTGTTCTGACACAAAGAGAGAGAGGAACGACCCAATGAAAGGAGAAACATCCATCTGAAGACACACTACGAATGTACAAATGAGTAAAAGCTTGTGAGCTTACGTTTGTCGGCATGAATGAGCTGAAAGTTTCTCCTGGAGGCCCGTGGTGTCAGTCCGTAGAAGTTCAGCTCGTAGCCCATAGTGACATCATTCCACACTGCATCTTTATTACGCAGCTGGATGACATTCTCCAGTTTAGGCTTCTGCCACCTCTTTAATAAAGATCTCTGATCCTGTTAATGATGCACACATAGATAGATTAGAAACAGTATTAGCTGATCCGCTGCTACACTACCCTGTCCGTCAGTGGAAAAGAACCACCATAGGACCACTGCTGACCAGATGCCATAGGTAAAATGTCTGACATGGTCTTTCTCGTTTCTGCTATTTTTCTTTTTTCGTTTTTCCTGGTGTTTTTGATAGCCTGATTAATATTTTTGGCAGCGTCTTCATTTGAATTAAAATCGACAGTGACAGTGACCGGACTCAACTACTGAACCCTTACTCTGCTATTGCATTGCTATTGCCACTGTATCTAAAACTAGTAAAAGCAGTCTTTAATTACTATTTAATGAATGAAGCGTTTTAATTAAGAATCTTTCAGTAAGCCTAAGAATCACATGCACATCACAAAATCACAAAAAAGAAAAGGGTACGGTCTTTGTCAGCCTGTCTAGTTAAAGCTTTTGGAATCATATGTAGCCTAAGCTACACTATACTGCCAAAAGTATTCGCTCGTCTGCCTTCACACACATATGAACTTGAGTGACATCCCATTCTTAATCCACAGGGTTTAATATGATGTCGGCCCACCCTTTGCAGCTATAACAGCTTCAACTCTTCTGGGAAGGCTTTCAACAAGGTTTAGGAGTGTGATTTCATGACTGGACTTGTTGCACAGGTGGGATCCTATCACAGTACCACGCTGGAATTCACTGAGCTCCTCAGAGCGTCCCATTCTTTCACAAATGTTTGTAGAAGCAGTCTGCATACCTAGGTGCTTGGTTTTATACACCTGTGGCCATGGAAGTGATTGTAACACCTGAATTCAATGATTTGGATGGATGAGTGAATGCTTTTGGCAATATAGTGTATGTGAACCACACAGAGACCAAAGTAACAAGGTGCAATGATAGAGAACATTAAAAAGAAACTTTGTACATCTTTATCAGCTCATCTAGCTTTCAAAACAACTGAGGCCCCATGAGAACTGGAAGAGGAACTGTGTGAGATGGGATAATCTGTGGTCATCAACAGTGAATAGCATCAAACTCACCTTAATAGAGTGAACTGGAGAGCGCTCAGAGTTCACGTTCATGCCAGGGATGATGACAGACATCTTGCGTGGTCCTTCACCTCCCATTAGATCGGCCTCCTACAGAAAGAACATGCGATATATGTTCACTATTCCTTTACGCTGGTTCTTTCCCAATAAGAATGTGTGTGCATATGTTTGTGTACTCACATAGCGGATTGTTGTGAGCTCCTGCTGTGGGTTTCTTCCCTTCAGCAGAGCTCTACTGTTCTTGCTGTTGGTCCTGCTTTTTCCACATAATGTGAATTTAGTCCCCAGCATGTTTGACCTACAAAAGACACAGAGAACCTAAGACTACATGATCAGACCTACTGATAAAGGAATACAGCTCTATGGAATGAAGACAGCCATACACAAAGGGAGCCCCTAGAGGGCGTCACTATTTTAGTAGAAGCTCGTACATACCTTAATTTCCCTACGACGTTCTCACCCTCATGATACCAGCCAGAGGGATCCACTGAGATCACATAGTTAGCTGTCATGGTGGTACTTGTGTTCCTAGCGGACAACAGGAATTTCTGAGAAAGAATGACAAAAAGACAGATTGAGAAAGAGAAAACAACAATATGGTATGGTGAAAAATCAACCCCCCTCCTTTACGCTCCTTATGTAGCTAACAACTAATGTAAGCTTACACTCTACCAATTAGCACGGTGCTAACTGCAGGGCTAAATCATACACTTTCAGACTGTTTCAAGTTGTTAATTAATCTCAAATAAACTTGCTTTTGTGGTTTCTGACACTAAATGACAAACGTGACTAAAGTACATGCTGTGTCTATCCCTGACACTCTGCCCCCTTCTGACCTTCTTGCCATCCTCTTCCTCCAGGTACATGTGAAATATGGGGTGGAGGTTGTTGTCTGTGGTCTTCATGTCCCGCTTGATGTGACACCGGACTGTAATACCCTGTGGAGCTGGCCGCAACGCAAAGACCGATAAGTCGTCCACAGTGATGCCAGACGTTTTCCTGCTGTCAGAGCTGGTCTCATCCACCTTATTCTCTGTGGTACAATCTTGCTCTGGGCTGGCTTCCTCAGGTCCAATGCTGCTCTCATCCCCTGAACCACCCACTGTGCTGGTGGGTGTAGTGGGGTCAGCTGGCTGGGGACTGGTCACTTTGAGCTCCTCTACAGGGCCTGGGCTCGAGCTCAGGGGTCTTACGGAGATGAGCCGTGGTCCTCCGTTTGTAGAAACAGGCCCGCTCAATGGTTCTGGTGTCTTCTGCTCCGGAGGCCCGTGCTGCTTTTCGTCTCCGTCAGTCACCATCAAAGGCCTGTTGGACCTTTTTCGCTCAGAGCCCCTGCGCTCAGCTCCATGCTGTGACCTGAATATACTGCCCTCACCAAACATTCGCTTCATCCACTCTTTCTTCTGCTTCTTTTCTTTCTTCATATGCTCCTCTAGCGCTTTCTGTATTCTCTCTGTCTCCAGCTGTCTCTCCCTCCTCTCTTTCTCTCTTTCCTCTTCTCTCTGCTTCTCTGGCTCATTCTCCTTTGCCTCCTCTATCTCTCTCTTCTTCTCCTCTATCTCTGTCTCTATCTCTGTGTCTATCTCTCCTCCTATTTCTTCCTTTTTGTTTGATGTTTCTTTTGGGTTCTTTTCCTTTATCATTGTCTCTTCTTCTAGCTCCCTCTCTTCTTTTTCTGTCATCTTCTTTTTCTCCCTCTTCAATTCTTCTTCTTTCTCCACCAGCTCTCTTTCCATCTGCTTCTGGAGCTCTTCAAACTCATTCTGTTTTTCTTTTTCTTGCTTTTCTTCCAGTTCTGTCAGTTTCTTTTCTTCTCTCTTGCTCTCCTCCTTTCTCCACTCTCTCTTTCTCTGTTTCTCATTTTCGTTCTTTAGATTTTCTTCAACCTGGGTTTCCTGCACTTTCATTTCTATCTGCCTTCTCGCCTCTGCTTCTCTCTCCTTCTCCAGCTTTTCAGATTCCCTTCGTTTTTCAATCTCTCTCTTTGCCTTCTCTCTTTCTCTCTGTCGGATCTTCTCTTTCTCAGCCCTAATTTCTTTCTCTCTCTTTTCTTCCAGGTCCCGAAATCTATGCTGCCACTCTTCCTCCTGTTTCTGGATCATTTCTTTCCATTTCTCTTCCTCTCTTAGGGCTTTTTCTTCTTCCTCCATGATCTTTCTCTCCATCTCTCTCAGTCGCTCTTCTGCCTGCCTGTGTCGTTCCTTCTGCTCTCTCTCTAGCTCATTCTCTTTCTCTCTCTCCATCTCGCTCTCTTTCAGCTGCTCCCGTAGTTCCTTTTCCATCCGTCTCTGTCTCTTCTTCAGCTCTCTCTCCATCTTTTGTCTCTCACTCTCTTTCTTTCTCTCCATTTCTTCCAGCATGACTTTTTCTCTCTCTTTCACTGCCCTCCTCTCCTCCTCCACCTGTCTTTCCATCCTTTTGCATATATCTTCCAGTTCTTCTAGTTTTTCTTGCTCTCTTTTCATTACTTCTTCTCTCTTGGTTTGTCTTTCTCTTGCCTTTCTCTCTTTTCTTTCCCACTTACTGCTGTTCTTTGATTTCGGAGCATGCTCTCTCTCCTTCCAGTTCAGATGTTCTGTATTTTGCTGAAACAGGATCAAACTTTCTCTCTCAGCATCGAGGACCTTCTCCTCTATATGACTTTCTTTCCCTGCCATCTTCTCCTTCACCTTCTCCAGATCTGTTCTTATCTCTTCATGTCTCTGTCTGCATCTCAGCAGCTCCATCTGATGCCATCTCGCCCTGTCTTCCAGACCAAACGCACCTACCTCAGGCTTTATTGGATGCTGCAGAGCGTCCTCACTTTTGCTAATAAGATCCTGTCCCAGCAGATTCTTCTAAAACACACAAGAACAGCACATGTGAAAAAGACCTTTTCATTAACAGAATTAAGTGAAAGAATTGTGGATCCAAAGTAGGAAAAGTAAGTGAGAAATCTTCTATACAGAGTTAGCTAAGCTAGGTTAGCTACATTCTCAGGATAGCCCCCTTTTACTGGTGCTACCAGCTGGCTAAGATGAAGAAGCTCTCGTACGTACAGTATTCCAGTGATTTTTTAAATATTCATGTTTCAAAAAGAAAACAGACAGTTTTTTTTTAATCTGAGTGATAGCTAATGCTAGATTAACTGGCTACAGGTACAGTTTCATTCCTCTTAATAGTGAACATTAGCATGACTCTACTAAACTACAGCACACACAGCATCCTCATTTTAGCATTGTAGGAATTTTAATCAGTTCATCGACTAGCACAACTCCACCTGTCGCTGTTGTCACTCAGGAATGTACTAAACTGAGCTCTTATCTTGTGTTTGAGCACTGAGGTAAAATACAATGACATATAGATTTGACCAGCTAACCAGCTAATCTAACGATCAGGAGAAATTAGCACATGTAGCCTAGCAAAGCTACCTAGTTACCACTTAGCTAAATATAAACTTAATATAAATATAAATACAAACTGTCATAAATTCACACTCTATACAAAGCTTCTGCTTTCTTTCTAAAACATGAATATTACAACAATCGCTGTAATATTTCTGGTGATTGCTGTCTTGTTCGGGAGTTTAGCTAGCATGTCTTACCTTTCTCTCCTCTCTCCCTTTCTTTCTCTTTCTCTCTTTCAGCTGCAGTTGTTTGTCCAGCTCTCTAAGCATCTCCAGCTCCTCTCTTTCTTTCCTGTCTTTCTTAATCACTCTCTCCCACTCCATCACAGTCCACATCTTCAACACAGCCATCTCTCTTTGCTCTTTCTGTCTCTCCTCTTCCAGTTTCCTCTTCCTCTCCTCCTTTTCCATCCTCTTCAGCTTCCTCCTCATCACCTCTATTCTTCTCTCCATCTCACTCCTCTCTCTCTGAAGCTGTCTGAGCTGCTCCTCCTCTCTCTGCCTCTCCAGAGTTCGACTGTTGAAGAAGGTCATTTTGGGGAGGCAGCTGCTCCAACACCCACAGTCTATGGGACCAAGTAGGGGACACAGCTTCATCCTCTCTGGTGATTTTAGCTCTAGAACACAAAATAAAGTACTGGATTAATATGTTTAGTAACGAACTCATGTGGAAAATTGATTTTGGACCTATATTGAAAAAAAAAAAACTAAAGAAAACGATGTAAAAACATCTGAAAGTTGAAGACTGGGGGGGGTGGGTATATACAGATAAAGGCCAAAAATAGAGGAAAAGAAAGAGAGGGAGAAAGGGGGTGGAGAGAGAAAGAAAGTAAGAGAGAAAAAGAGACAGAAAGGTGGAAGGAAAAGAGAAATAAACAGGTGAAGAAAGAAAGAGTGAGAGAGGTGAAAAGAGAGAGATGGGAAGGAGAGAGATGGAGAGAAAGAGGGGAAGAGACACAGTGAGAAGACAGAGAGATAGAGGAAGTGAGAGATTAAAAAGGTGGAGAGAGAGGCCAAGAGAGACAGAGAGAAACTGAGAGAGAGACACAGAGAGAAAGAGGGACAGAAGGAAAGGTAGAAAAAAGTGGGGGCGAGAGAGGTTTAAAAAGAGCGAAAGAGAGAAAGAATGTGAAAAGTAAGATGAGAAAGATTGTTTAGACTTTAGTAAAATAATGATTTATAAAGCGGACAGTTCCGGGCCTAAAATCTGACTGGCTGAGCCGTGTTCCATGATGGCTTTACAACAACTGAATTGTGTATTACTGCGCCACGGCATGACCCTTGTGCTGTTGATGGAATAATCCTTGACTCTCACGCTGCTCGCATGGGCCACTGAGTATATTGTTGAAGAAGGAACCCGTTTTTTGTTTAAACTGAGGGGCTGGCAACTTATGTTCTTAACTAGAACTTGGCTGGTCAGCTAGCTAACAGGCTAAAATATAGCTAATAGCCCGAACAACTCCATTATTAATATCACAGGCTTGAATGAAAATACTTATGGTATGATTAAGTGTAAAACTGCAGTATGAAAGTCTAAAAGTGTCACGCTTCAAATGTTTGTGTTTCAGTCAGAAGTAGCGTTAAACACAGGGTACTTCTGACTGAAACACAAACATTTGTACTAGCTATAAACATTTAGAAATTCTGGCCTTTACTGCCAAATAGTGCATCATATACCGAGTATAGATGTGGCTGAGACCCAAATGACTATATATTAGCCATATTTTGCACCGTTGGGGTGCAGGAGCCAGTATTTAAATTCTGACGTAGTGCACTATGTAGGGGGCAGGGAACCGTTTGAGATTCAGCCCACCGTGAGAAGAGGGGCTACGCTGGATTGGTGCTAAATAAGTCTCGTGGTGGTATTTTGGTGACCAAAAGTACTTATAAAGTGAACGTTTCTGCATTAAACAGTGCTGTGTTATCATAAGTTCATTATTACATGACAAAAGTTAAAACGTTCTTCTCCTCATTCAGCGGTCCATGGTTGCTTAGCAACAATACCGGACTCTAAAGGAACTAGCTACATTTGTGTGCCGAATACTTGTTTATGTCGATTATAATAACGTAAATTATTTTCAGAAAAATTGTGCATTTTATTATATTTTATGTTGGCCGCCGTTTTACAAAAGCAATAAGCTACGAGGGGGTGTGCGTTCCTACTTACTCCTGTGATAAAATCACAGTAGCGCGCGGCCTCTCGTGGCTTATTGCTTTAATAAGGTCTAAAGGTAACATTTGACTTCTGTTTAGAAGATGTGAATATTGTATTTTGCTTTTACATACATTTAAGTTTTCTTCATTGGCGTCGCTTCATTATCCCAAAAACAAAGGGTACGGAGTCGCGCTGACGCGCTGACCGGGTGTGACGCCATAGCACGCGCGAAACCCGGAGTTCGAATCAGGTCGGAGCGAATGACTCGTTCTGCTCGAGCGGGTCGAGTGATTCGGTTTGAGAGTCAGAGCGAACAGCTGCTGGTTCTTTTCTCCTGCTGAACAGTTACAGCGGAAAAAAGCCACTCACCTGTTTTGTGCTCTGTTATTCGGACACACCGCAGAATGACGCTCCGATAGAAACACCCGCTCTATTGTAACTGTCCGTCACAATGGAAACGTCTCTCTCTCTCTCGCTCTCTCTCTCTCGCGCGCTCTCTCTATGACGTCATGGGTTCGTTAATGGATCCGTAGTCTCAGAGTCAGAGGCCCCGCCCACATCGGTATACGTGCCGTCTAAAGCTTATTTATTTATTTATTTATTTATTTATTTATTTGAATCACAGTATTTACTATAGCTGTCAGTACAATACATATAAAAAGTTTTGTAAATAGACAACAGCACCAAAAAAATATAACAACAACAACAATAATAAACACAAAAACAGTAAAGGAAAAGGGATGTTAGTGATTTACTCTACAGAAAGTTTGAATAATGATTTAGCATTTTTCCTTTTCTTACATTTAAGAGAAACAGAAAATTAGAGTTTATGAAAACCTCAGTACCTGTGCTTTGTGCATTAAAAACTTTACCTAACAACATTAGAGTACTGATCACATTATATATATTCAAGTTGTAAAATTATTCATATAATTATTTCCTTTTCCCCCCAGTTTGTGCCCAAATAACTCTGCACATAAAACCACAAATTTCCCTAATCCAAAGTCTAATATCTCAACAACAATGCTGACACTGATATTTTTAAGTCTTCTTGTGCTCATAAAAGGGACATCCTTTTTGATTTCCACAGTGAAACCAGTAAATATGCCCCTCAGTCATGATATAATTTTTTACATTAGTATATACATTTGCCAGATAAACTGAGAGAACAGAAGCAAATACTCTTTTTACATTATTAGCATCAGCACCTTTCAGTTTCATAAAAATATATTCCGTTTACTGCTTAAAGAAAACACTTTGTTCTGATATTTTCATGGAAGAATCGTTTCTCAAACAGAATCGGAAGTATCAATACTTCAGAATTGATTCTCCATCTCTTGTACGAAGAATTACAGTGAAAAGCCAGAGACCAGACCACTAAAACGTTACTGCTCTCAAAACTACAGAGAACGTGCCCAGCACTGGTGGACAAAAAATACATTTTCAGTCAATGTTTTTGTTTTATGTAATCAAAGAAAATTATAACACAAATGATGTATTATCTATTTGTGAAAGACAGCAGCCATTTATCTAGGCAGCTCACATCAGCTAAACTCAGGGCTAATGAATCCGGACACATCCACAATATTAACCCTAAAATAAAAACAATTCATTCAGCTAGAATATAGACGTTGTAGCCAATCAAATACCAGAATTGTGTTATCAATCACTTTTTACTAAGCCAGTCAGCAGCCATAATTACATGTCCATCATTTTCCACTGCAGCCTAGTGACTGCTGCATCATTTAAGGTGTAACAGAACATTTGGATAAGAAGCCATTTTCAGCCTCGTGAAAAGAGAGACTAAAGATAACAGAGTTTATGGCTTGTAATGTCAAGTGTGAGCACCATTATCTCCTTTGCTTACGTTAGGCCATTTTATGCAGCGGTGGCCGTAGCCAAAATAGTGCTGGTTTTAACATGGCTAACAGGACTTGTTACAAGAGGACCAAAGTTAGTTGGGTCGTGTCTTCATGTGGATGGAGATTTAAAAAAAAACAGTGATTATAAAGGAAGGAAATAAAGGAAGTCCAGCGGAAGAGATTGGCTGTGTGACCGATCGGCCAATCAATAATGACTTACATCTGTGCATGTTTAATAACTGGCCGCATCACTTATAAATACTTTAGTACTGAAAGAATAAAAATGTTACTATAACAACAAAGAGTTTCTCTCTTAAAGATGTTTTTTTCTCATCTAAAAAGATTAATGTAGCATAAATAAAATCCTGCAGTCAAGAAAGCCAACATTGAGGATGTGGTTCGTAAACAGTGTGGGGCGCTAAAACTGCTGCTCTCCAGTTGGATACTGCTAGATTGTTTTGTTAATTCTCACGATTATTGTGACATTTAGTGTAGAGGATGAAAGAGTCCATCGCTACCAACATCCCAGCTAACAAAATGACATTATCAGAACGTTCCCCTAACGTTCCATTTTGGTTGTGGAACGTTCCCAGAACGTCACCTAAACCTCATTTGCAACAACAATTTAACATTCTAGAAACGTTGTCTCGGAACATTCTGAGAACATTCAAAATGATGTTCTCTGAACGTTCCTCTGACATTCCATTTTGGTTGTATGAATGTTTTATTGGAATGTTCCCACATGAATCTGTCCAGTTTTCTGAATGTTCCCAAAACATTCTAGCTATGCGAACGATCCCTAAACTTCAACCCAACCTCATTAGTAACAATTTAACATTCTAGGAATGTGGTCCTGCAATTTTCTGAGAACATGAAAACATTCCCGTAACATTCTATTATGGTTGTGAAAATGTTGGTAACCTTAAAAAAGGCCATTTTTCTTAATGGTTCTATAACATCTTTCTTAAAAGCACTGCCCCAGAATATTACCTCAGCTTTATATACACTGACCACTGAACATTCCTGGAATGTTATCTTTAAACGTTCAAAGGTTTATAGTTCCAGTTTTCTTAATTTTCTTAGGATGTTCGGTGCAAGTTAGTAGAACATATCCTAAAACATCTTCCCAATATTTTTGTGCAGCCAGCAATAATCAGTGTCAAAACTTCAGATTTTTCCAATGTTACGTTACATCCCATGAATGTTTTCTCGGTCTGTAGTTGCTGATAGTCTAATTCAAACAATCCCAGCTACTATGATAATATTGTCATAAACTAAGGCAAATCATTGCAAGCATAAGGGATTTAATGAATGTTTATTATTATTACTAATAT